ATTGTTGCAATTCTTCGGTTTGGGCAGAATAGGGAGAGACTGAAAACTGCTACAAACTTCAGACAACTTTAGGGTTTCCGTACCTCATCTGGTGTTTTTCAGCAGGTTCTAATAACCACTAATAAAAGAAAAGTTAGCATTCCAAATTAACAACCAGCCTTCATGCAACTGATTATTTGTCTAAAAGCATTTCTTTTGCTCTCTCTTACAACTGTTGGCTGTCCAAGAATTGAGCTTAACTCAAGAGAGACTTCATATTTATTTATTCTGCTGGAGGCTGGGCTGTAGAATGTTCTTAAAATTTGGGCTCTCAGGTTTGTTGGTTTAGCATTAGTTTTAGACATCTTTTAAAATTACACATTTTAAATTATGGCTGAAATCTCACAAAGCTGCCAGACACAATGAGATTTCACTTCTCTTATCCTTCCATTTTTCTCCTTTTGCACAAACAATTGGGGGGAAAAAAACATAGCTCAAGATGTCCCATCCAGGGCTTTTTTGATAAAAACAAAACAGGATTTGAACCTGGTTTTAAAATCCTGGTTTGCTTCAGAACAGCAGAACCATAAATCCTTATTTTGGTATCAGATTAATTTATTCTTCCCTCATTTATTCTTTTTTCTGTACAGATCAAAGGAAGGATAAGACTGGAGCTAATCAAATGCTTGCATGAGCACACTACACGTTGAAATTATATTCTGTCATTCAGAATATATTGATTCTTCTGTTTGAATTTCCAGGTAATAATCATTACAAAAACTATTGAAAATAAGATAGACAGATACCACTTTGCAGGTTGAGGTTCACCGCACCTCAAAAATGATATTGTAACGGTAGAAAAATCCAGAAAAGAGCAAGAAGAAGTAATAGGAAGGTAGTAAGTGCAGCAGCTGCACCTGAACAGGGGAGGGCAACCTGCAGATGGCCAAATACCGCTGAACTGAAATTTCCCAAAGTCTCAGCTTTATAGCCAACAAAGCGTGTCACTGTATTCAGCAACAACTGGAAAGCCAATGGTGGTACTGATGGCCATCAATTTATATAAAACAATATAGTTGTGCTTCCAATTTTTATACCCCTTATTAGTGTGAAATACTTCACTTATCCCTCTAAAAATGTTGACAATTTTTTCAAAGGAATGTTTCCCCATCATATAAGCAAAAAAAGCTATTGTACTTTCTTACTCAGGATCAAATATTCTGCCAATACTTTTACAACTTCAATAACTGAGTGTCTAAAATAATTTGGACATGGGTCCCAGAACCAATTCCTTTCACATGTGAGCCAATTAAGTACATCCCAGAAGAATGCAGTGGCAAACCACTTCCTATGAAAACTGCATGAAGATATCCATGTAGTTACTAACAATCAAACTCCACTCAAGAACATCTTTATTTTTTTAATTGAGTACATTACATTTCACAAAGCTTCTAAAGTTGTCCTCCACATCCTGCCTACAAACAGGTGGAATTCTGTTCTATATTCAGTATATACATAAAAGTACTTTCTACACTGTAATTATTACCAAAAAGTTTAATTTACTTAATAAAAATTACATTTCTTTTATCAACAAGAAATACTAAAAGCACAGGCACAGGCTCAGTTTGCTGGTTGATATAGGCACAGAGACTGAGGAAAACATGCCTTTACTCTTTATGTAGTTTACCTAGTTTATATATATAGGAGTCAAGAGAATCAGTCATGAATATGAACGTGAGAAGTTTAAATCAATAGATTCTGCCAAACAATATGTAATTAGAATTGCAAGAAAATGGAGGAATGATATTACATCACTTCTGGGATGTCCTCAAATCCTTATCAGAGAAGCATGGGTAGGGAATCAGAAATGATAAATTATCACATGGGATTAAGACAAGACAAGCTGATGTATCTTCCACTCCACTAAGATTCTAGCCAACCTATTAAAATGATTAAATCTTTTTAATATACAGAATTACCTTGTAACTCAAACACTCAGGTACAAGGGGTAGATTAACAGAGATCCGAACTGCAATGTATTCATCAAGACAAATGCCAAATCTGAGATTTAACCAACTGACTTCCTGCCAACTGTCAATCCACCAACAAATTCAAACCCCAGAGTGGAAAAGCACATTAAAGAGCATTGCTAACATATTCACAAGCACAAACTTGTCTCAGCCTGTGCAGTGCTTTATAATATTCATTATTATTCTCCCTTCAAAGCCACAACCATCTCTATCTTTCACAATCCTCAACTTCCCTCAAACTAATAAAACAGTATTCACTGAGCATTATCTGTAATTTACTGATAATTATCTGGATATTTTGATTCTAGATATTAACATACAATAGCTATATTGTGTAGGATAAACATACTAAAAGTTATGGCACATGTGCAATTAAGTCATATTGTACCTACATTACTATTTATGTGTCAAGGATCACACATTTTCCTATTATCAAAACCTTACAATGACTCTTTAATAACATATTCTAATGACTAAAAGCATATGTTGCACTGGAAGGAAAAACAGTAAAGAAAGATTAAACAATATACATTAATGACATTAAACAATAGTATACATTAAACAATATACATTAAGGACAACAAACCTCATTTCACATCTTTTCCCTTGCAGTTCCAGTATTTATATTCCCCCCCCCAACACACACACACCTTGGAGTTCACACACACCAGTTGCATACATGGGCTATTCATGATCTGGATTTAAATTTTGTTCTTTAATCATGTCAGGCTGCTCAATTTACCAGATAGATGACTGACTGATTTTCATTCCTTCATTCATTCCAGCGTTGTTGCCACAACTACTATAGTTGCTCTCAAGCCTTTTAAAAATGGTAAAGTCTTCTGCCTATGTGAGTTCTGAGATGTGCTTAACCATGCTAGGATAGGGCTATCTACAGTAGTTGTTAACTAAATTACCAAAGTAGTTCACATGGCCCACATGGAAACATCAAAGAAGAAGCTGTAATCATGCAAATTCATCCAATTGTATTCTAAAGATGCCAAACTTGGATGTATCCTGCCTCCCTTTAATTTTTATGTTAATTCTATAGTACAGGTATTCTCAAAATGTATGTTCTATCCACCCATTCCTGTCACTAGACAATAAACCTATCTCTATCTTCCTATATGTCAACAATGCTGTCATTCATTTCTTGACACAGATTGGCCTTCAGCAGAAAATTCAGGCATTAGCAACATTTTGCCATGATGTAAAACTAGAAATTAATTGCTTTAAAATAAAAAATGTACCAACTGCCACCATTATTGTAAAATCAGTGGTATCCAAACTGAACAGATTAAGGTTTTTAAATATTTAGGAATCTATTTTCAGTCTTCCAACACTTGGAAAAACAGAACTGAGAAATTACAGGATTCTGAAGATGAATCTGAATTTCTGAAGATGTTACCTAGCCAGGTAACGAAACATTTGCAAGAAAACATCCAAGCTCAGAGAATCCCAAGGACTCCATGGTTGAACCCTGAGCTACACATATCCACATCTATTGGTAATTTATTTCCTTTTGGAAAAAAAGATACACCCTGCATTTTGTTCTATTGTAGCCTCTCATCCCAATCTCATTAAATGCTTGGGCCATAGAAAACTATGTTAGAGATCAGAAATGCCTTTCCCAGGACCTGCAGAATGGCAGAACCAAAGCTTCAAACTACTGTTGTGGGGGCGTCAGAAATAGACATTTCAAGATTCCCCACTGTTATTCTGACACATGTCAGGCCTAGAAGGACAATAATTTGTAATGTTTGCTACTACCTCCGTCTTTCTAATGTGTTAATTCCTCACTTATTTTTTATATTGTATCTGTGTTTTTCTTTTGGTCTTTAACCATAAATTCAATAAATTTATTTATTTATTTATTATTAAATTTGTCCCCACCCATCTCCCCCCAATTCATAAATAAAATGAATACAATGTTGGCTCAGAGTGGGTTGGTAGACAGGTATTTTTTGACTTCCCAATCTAGGGCTGAGAGAGAGACTGACCCAGCCAGCTCCATACCTAAGGGAGGACTAGAACCTGAGTCTTCCTACTCCTAGTCCAGTACTTTAACCACTACACTACACCATCACTCATAAATAGAATGAATAAATTTATAAATTACAGAAGTAAAAGGGTTATTTTATACAGTGGGGGTGTACATAGCTCCGAAATTTGGGAACAGAATATTCCAGACAACGTTCTGTTTCCCCTCTAGACAATGCCAATTTTCCTCTGTTCCAGGAGCAGTTCAGCAGTTTCTTAAAGCAAATTTTTTGAACTGAAAGTGTTTTGTGGTCTCCCTGACTTGGAGCTTCCAGACAAAACAGGCCTGTTTCAGGATCAGACCACCACCCAGAGTGTGAACAGCTTTCATTTCATAAGATCTATTTTCAAAAATTGCTCAACCACCTCTAGAATGGCATGGTGTGGAGGAGATTTGGCATGGTCTGGAAGAATATAATGTTCCAGAGTTATTAAAACATTCCTGTTCCAAATCAGTGAGTTTTATACTTCCCTACATGTAAGCATATCTAGAACAATTAGGAAAATAGCCACCTTGAATTAAGACTAATGATCAATAGCTAACCAACCAACTGCAAACAGAAAAAAATAATAAGCTTATGTGACCTTATAAGCCAGCTAAGGTTACTGTGGTGTTCTGATCTCTTCACATTGCTGACTTACTTTGCATGAATCGTGAATATTTATATATACTGTATAATATTCTATATCAGAACTCAACTATAAAAGAAAATAGGTAAGTTTGCGGTTGTACCCCTGCTCCACACAAGATAATTTTTAATTTACAAGAATCCACTCTAAAAGTTCTATGATATTCTGTGAAGATGAAGAATCTTTTCAGAAAGCAATATTTTAGGAAAAGGTAACACAGAGTTCTGAATGCCTGATACAAAGAAAATTTTCAACTATGTTTTAAATATTGCTATGATTTATAATTCATAAATGTCATTTTTATTATAAATCGTATCTTACCTGAACACAGTTGTTCAACTTTTGTGTAGTTTAAAGCTACTATGTCATTCACCCATGCAATGATGTCATGCCTGCTCATAGTCTCTTGGGTTATAGAGGTAGAATACACGTTGACCGCCATTCCCCAACTGCAAAATCAGATAAGCATAGATAAGCTTGACACTAGAACATTTGTCATACTGAATCCAACATCTATGTAATACATATACAACAATGGGGGGAAAAAAACAGCATTTTTGAAATACATTCACTTCTATTTAAGTTTTTTCCAACCTCATGCTGCATGTGCTAGTCTGTAACTCCTACAATCCCCATCTAGCATGATATTAATATCCAAAGATAGGTGGCAGAGAATTAGTTACAGGAGCTGAAGTCCAACACATCTGGAGGGCTCACTGTTATCTTAAATTTCTCATCAAGAAAAAAGAAGGCCTACTTTTATAAAGACTGGTCTCCATTATTTGACAAGAGTGAATCCTCAAGTTATCTTGAAGTCCCTCCTAAAACATCAGTGATGATACCAAATATAAGAGTGTAAATAATCCAATGCAATTCCATCACAAGACCATGTGTTATTAACACACCTATGGAAATATTATGAGAGCAAGTTCTCACATGGTCAAAAGCAAAAAAGCCCAGTCTGAAACAAGAGAGTAGCTTTGAGACCTTTGCACTGCATGGGTATGAGAAAGCCATAAGAATTTGAAATCGATTTCAGTATAAATAAAGCTTGCATTTGAAATACAGTGTCACTAGAATTCTTTCATAATGTCTTCAAAGCTTTTTTTGCAATAAACTTCTCTCAGATTTTGTGTCCTTAGAAATATATTCTTGAAGTTTTCACCTTCCCAACTGCTGGAAGCCCGGCTGATATCACCATACAGCAACTTCCACAATATGGTGCTTTCTAAATGTGTTGGATTACATTTAGTATCATTCCCAACCAACATTCCCTTGTTTACCTTTTCTCAGGTAGATAACTAGCTCTTTTGTGTAATATTTATGCATCACAGATGACTAAGATTTCTTTAGTTTCCAATGCCACTATATCCAGACACGCTAATAAATTTAGGTAGATTCAGATAGTCATTCACATCTAGCTACTAATTACACTGCAAACAATGAGATATCCTAATCACAACTAATTACCTTGCTGACTCAGCAAGATCTATAGCATACAGAGACCTACTGCTTTACTTCAGTCATACCTTCAAAACCACCAGATATGATAAACAAAATATTAAATTCAGCAGTGCTACCAGATTTCAACCATGTTTTGATGGCTTCCAAAGATACATTTTCTATGGTATCTCATAATTTCTCTCTCTCTCTCTCTCTTTCATACACACACACGCGCGCACACACACATACACATGCTTTTTTTTTACTCGGCAAATGGGATTTTAGGATGAATCCTATTTATTGACTAACTTGTTTTTGTATGTTATCTGTTAATTTGGGAACTGTAAATTTATCAGGATAGCTTAATTCTGAAAATCAATCAATCATTGTTTATATCAGTAAGTAGAACAAAAACATATGCATGTTATGCCAAAAGAAGGAAATCATACTATGGTTTAGCTTTTTTGTATGAACTGGGTATGTATCCTTAAATCAAAGCTTAACAGTACTCTGTACAGTAGTTAATGTACAGTTTAATTCATTTCAACATTCATTTTAAGAATATCAAAAAGAATACCAACAGAAGACTAAAAAAAAAGCATTAGAGCAATTAAAATCCAAAATCGTATCCTTAAATCAAAGCTTAACAGTACTCTGTACAGTAGTTAATGTACAGTTTAATTCATTTCAACATTCATTTTAAGAATATCAAAAAGAATACCAACAGAAGACTAAAAAAAAAGCATTAGAGCAATTAAAATCCAAAATCCATGTTTTTGAAACATTATTTTAAAGCTTTTGTTTAAACCACTTTAAGATAAAACAAAAGAATATGTAAAATAATTAAGCAAGCAAGCCGTCAATTAGGTGAAAAAACTGGTAACAGAAAAGGTTTATATAAAATGACCTAGAACAAGCATACAATAATGCCATTGCAATTAGGAGGGTATTTTTCTGTTTTAAGAGAAGGTAGCTGCATAGCAGAAAGGAGCAGGATGCTGCCTAGTAAGAAAAACTTAAATCCTTAAGACTGAACTGGTAAGAAGCTGCAAACCCTTGAAATTTTGCCAGATGCTTTTCCAGGGATTTCTTCTTCATCCCACTGAAATGGCTTACACAGAGGTTACCGTCACTGAGGCAGAGAAGCAACACATATCACTGGATCTTGTTCTGCCCTTGAGCCGCCCAGAGTCACCCATTGGGGGAGATGGGCGGCATACAAATTTATAAATAAATAAATAAATAAATAAATAAATAAATAAATAAATAACTAACTAACTAACTAACTAACTAACTAACTAACTAACTAACTAACTACCAGATCAATATACTGAAGTGATCTTTGCTCTATCTATTCTATTTGCAAGATAAAAATGTCAAGCTTTTAAAGGAAGAAGTATCTTAAAATGGAAATACTCTCCTATAGTAGAAATTACATGTTCAGCAATCTGTGCAACTCATATACAATACAATCACACAATCCGTATTTGAACAGTTTAGCCTTCTGCAATCTGATGCCTTTCAGTGTGTTGGGACAGAAATAACATCTCTCATCATTCTTACCCAGATTGTAACTGGAGAACAAAAGTTTAAATAAGGTAGAGTAATTAAAATGTATATAAAGAAAGATATAATTTTTATTTATGGCCAAAAAGCCCATGTAATGAAGTACATATATGATTAAAACCTTTGGTGTAAGATAAAACAGTTTTAACAAATGAAATAAATTGTAATACAAGTGTAATTGTAATTTATTCCAAAGATCAGGGGGTGAACAATAGTTCCTGTAGTGAATTGTCCCATAAACTTTAACACAATAAAACACCAATGACATACTTCTGGAAAACAAATAATCAGGACCAATACAAATCTGACCAATCTTTTGGGTCACCTGTTTAAACCATCTATCTACATACAGGTAGTCCTCGACTTATGATGGCAACTGGGACCGGAATTTCCATCATTAAGTGATATGGTTGTAAAGTGAGACTTCACGTGACTAGCATCACTTAGCAACCACAATCCCAGCACTCCCAGTTGCCGTCGTTAACTGAGAATCACAGGTTGTTAAGCGGAGGGAGTCCCAAGTAAGGAGCACCGGGGTGCCGCAGGGGGATGGGGGAGACCTGGGAGGCCCAGCACAGGACACGTGCGAATTGGGGGGATGCTGCAATGCGGCACAAAGCCGCAGCCACCTCAGCCTGGCCCAGCAATGTGGCACAAAGCTGCCGTGCCTTGGGAAGCCTAGCTGCCCCAGCCCAGCCCAGCCCAGCCCAGCAGTGCTTACAATTCCAGGGGTGCTGCAACTCCTTTCACCCACTTATCTCCCCCCTGATCTATGGCCTTTTGGCCGCCCTGTGCAGCGGCACTTGGCAGCAGCAGAACCGGGGCTGGGGCTGAAGTAGAGGCCCGGGGTCTTCAGCAGTCTCAGCCAGCTGCCACTGCCCCCAAGCCTCTACTTCAGCCCCAATACCACTGCTACCATTGAAAAATGCCACCTCAAGCCCCACACCGCAGCCAGGCACCCCAACACCATTGTGCAAAGCATCAGTTGCTGCTGCACCCAGCTGACCTTCATCATTTTCCTCCTCCTGCTGCTGGGGTGTACCTGGCCTGACCCTACTGTACGCAAGGCAGCTGCTGGTCGCACCAGGCCTTCTTCCTGAGGCCACTCGCGCAGTTCTCCAAGCCACTTGCACCATTCCTTCTCCAAATTGCACACCCCATTCTCACAATCCTTCAGAAACCTGGTCTTCCCTAAGTCTCATGAGAATGGGCATGCTAGCTGGAGAACGGCAGGAGCCCTGTTCTAGTAGTGCTTCGGAAACCTGGTCTTCCCCAGGATTGTGAGAATGGGGCACGTGATTTGGAGAAGGAATGATGCAAGCGGCTTGGAGAACAGCGCAAGCAGCCTAGGGAAGAAGGCCTAGTGTGGCCAGCAATTGCCTCACATACAGGAGGGTTACGCCAGGCATGCCTCACCTGCAGTGAGAGGAAAACAGCAAAGGTCAGCTGGGCGCAGCAAAGCCTGTGGAGTGCAGGGCAGTGGGGGAAGCTGGAGCTTTGCACAATGGTGCTAGGGTGGCTGGCCACGGTGTGGGGCTTGAGGAGGCATTTTTCAGTGACAGCGGTGGCATAGGGACTGAAGTAGAGGCCTGGGGGAGGCGACAGCTGGCTGAGACTGCTGAAGGCTCCAGGCCTCTACTTCAGCCCCATTCCCAGTGCTGCTGCCTGGTGTCACTGTGTGGAATGGCCAAAAGGATCGGGGGCGGGGGAGATAGACTGGTGGAGGGAGTTGCAGCATCCTTGCGGTTGTAAGTGTGGCAGGCTGCCAAGCGCCCAAACTTTGATCACATGACTGCGGGGGCACTACAATGGCCGTAACTTCAGGCATGGGTCTTAAGTCCATTTTTTCAGCACTGCTGTAATTTCGAACTGCCACTGAATGAAATATCGTAAGTCAAGGACCACCTGTAAGAATAATTTGGAATTTCACATAGCAATCCTTCCTTGCTTTTGAAACATATATTGAAATCAAAATTTAATTGTACTGAAAGGGACAAGAGGATTAGCAGATCAAGCTGATGTTCTGGGAGAAAAATGGGAAAAGCTATTCTAAGATATCAGTGTTAATGACTAAATACTTTTTCTCTTCTTCATTGCTTTAACACATCCAAATCACTAACTAAAAATAAAAGCTGGGGGAGGGGAGTGCCCATAATAGGAGAGTTAAGAGAAGAAACTAAAAATCAAATCACCATCTGTGCCATGAAGAGTACAAACAGCAATGCACCAATAATGTTGAACTTTGAATTTTATGGAACATTCATTCTTAATTTTAATTTTGAATGTTGTTATTTATTTCAGAAAGGAAAGTTAGATTTACTGTATAGTTTCTCTGTTCACCGGGTTTGAATCCAGACAGTGATAGTTAAATTATCTTCTAACCACATGATACTAATGGAACACTAACAGTTTTATCATGATGGATAGGATATACTATCCA